TTTTTTCAAATGGAGCTTCACTCTTGTTGCCCAGGCTGGAATGCAGTGGCACAGTCAGCTCACTGCAAACTCTACCACCCAGGTTCAGTCGATTCTCCTGCCTCAGTATTCTAAGTAGCTGGGATTATAGGCACATGCCACCACACCTGGCTAATTTTTGTATTTTCAGTAGAGACGGGGTTTCACCATGTTGGCCAGGCTGGTCTCAAACTCCTAACTTCAGGTGATCTGCCTGCCTCAGCCTCCCAAAGTGCTGGGATTACAGGCATGAGCCACGATGCCCGGCCTGTTGTCAGCATTTCTGACACAGGCTTCCCGCTGTTGCCTCTTAGGGTTTCTTCCTGTTCCCTTCTCCTGGCTTCCTCATCTGTTTGGCAGAAACCCGATGACCACACTTAGAATTAGATGTACAAGAAGAATGGGTAGAGCTGATCCGACAGCACAGACACCGTCCACTGCCTAAAATACACACGCTGTGAAATGCCTTCAGCATTTCCAAGCTAAACTTCCTCACAAATTTCCATTTCCTTTCTGACTTTTTATATCCGTATAAAAAGCATCGACACAAATAAGTCGTTGTGTGAACTAGCCTACTTGCACAATAACCAGCCACCGTCAGTCCCAACCCCACGGGGGTGCCCTTGCTTTCTCTCACCAGCCTCCTTGGTGATGAATTCCCCAGTCTTAGAGAGCATCTCCGGCCTCATGCATCCTCCTAGAATTCAGCACCTGTTGGGTAGGGGAGTCTCCCGACAGGCATCTCTTTTTATGTCTCTGTTCTCTTCCCCACTGGGTCCCAGTAACCCACATCCAAAAACAGCCCAAAGCCCTAGTGGAAATCCTCTTTTCTATCATTAATTTAGGTACAATCAAAATAGGAACCAAATACACAAAAATATTTACAGCTCAGCCTGCCATCAACATTCTATGCCCCCTCTCCGTGCAAACTCACTGTCCTCCTGCCACGAGAATTGGATGTTCTGTTTGTACGTCCTGCTGGCTCTACCTTCTACTTCTTGGAGGAGGCCAGAGTCTTGCTTATATCTCCTCAGTATGCCCCACCCCTAGTTTACATCCGCAAAGCAGGTTTGTACGTCTTTCAGCTCCACCCTTCCCTGGTCAATAAGCAGGTCAAACCCACCCTTCCCTAGTCAAATCCGTAATGAGTCCTCACCCACCTCCCATGTCTAAGAGACCGATTATGCAAGCAGAGAGCTGTATTGGTTTTCTGCTGCTATATCAAACTGCCAAAGACTCAGTGCTTAAAACAACACAAATTCATTCTTTTACAGCTCTAAAGGTCAGAAATTCAAAATCAGTTTCGCTGGGCTAAAGTCACGATGTGGGCAGGGCTGGCTCCTTCAGAGGCTCTGAGGGGACCATTTGTTCCCTTGCATTTTTCAGCTTCTGGTGGTCACCTGCATTCCTTGGCTCATGGCCTCTTCCTTGACTCACTCCATCCTTTGCTTCCTTTGTAGTTGCTTAGTCCCCGGTACAGCTAGGTCCAAGTTCTTATTCTACGACCAGGAAGAATAAGGCACACAGACAGTGAAAAGTGAGTAGAATAGAGTAGGATTTATTAAACAAAAGGGAAACTCTCAGCAAAGAGAGGGGTCCTGAAAGCAAGTGACCAGAAACGGGGCTGGGTTCTGTGTCTTTCATGTGGCAGAAGCCAGGAAGTCTTCTGTAGGTTTTGTTCAAATGGGAGGGGTAAAATTCCCTCCTAAAGGTGTTGCATCTGCACATGCTGGGATTGGCCAGAGTGACTCCATCTTGGTTATTACCCATGAGTGCCTAAACAAAACCCACAGGGGGGGCTAAAACCACAATACTAATGTTATGTTAATGACATTATAATAAGCTGGGTCAAGTAAAGGACATTTAGGTTGATTTGTTGCACCTGCGCCTAAGTTGGGACAGTCACTTTTGAGCAACATCCTGGCACAAGGGGAAATTCTTAACCGCATTTCTTCCCCTTAGCTGCAAAGGCAGTGTAGATGCTGTTCTGCGGTTGTTCCTTTGAACATTGCCCCTCTCTGTCCTTCTCCAAAGACTCTCCTTCTCTATCTGCCTAACCAGCCCCTAACTGCCCCCTGCCGCTTCCTCGTTTGATCTTCTTGACCTCCCTCATATTATGGTGATCACACTTAGGGTCTTCCCAGATAATTCAAGATGATCTCATCTCCAGATCCTTAATCACATCCTCAAGTCCCCTTTGCCCTGTAATGTTACATACACAGTTCCAGGGGATTAGGATGTGGACATTTTGTGGGGGGCGTTATTCAGCCTACCACAAAGATATAGAAAATTACCAAGCTAAATTAAACTATGAGTTGCTGAAAATTGGATTTAGACTTCAGAAAACAGAGTAATAACTCAGCAGTACAGTATCATGAAATATACCAGGAATGAAGAGGGTCATAGAGGAACCAAATGAACAAGGGCTAGCCTGTCCAGAGAATGCACAATTGCTAGATACTTTTTCTGAGCTCTTAATGGTCACAGTGATATGACCAGAGTAGCTGACCAGACTGGAAAAGTCCTGGTAACCTGCAGAACAGTGAAGAAAGAAGAGGAGTCAAAGACCCAGTGTGAGCTAGGCTCGGTGGCTCATGACTGTAATCCTGGCACTTTGGGAGGCTGAGGCGGGTGGATCTCTTGAGCTCAGGAGTTCAAGACCAGCCTGGGCAGCATGGTGAAAACCCATCTCTACAAACAATACAAAAAGTATCCAGGTGTGGTGGTTCGCACCTGTAGACCTGGCTACTTGAGGGACTGAGGTGGGAGGATCGCTTAAGCCCAGGAGGCAGAGGTTGCAGTGAGCTGAGATCACACCACTGTGCCCCAGCCTGGGCACCAGAGTGAGACCCTGTCTCAAAAAAAAAAAAAAAATACCCAATGTGGTCAGCCTGCGAGTAGCTAGTGGGACCAACACTCCTTGAATGTGGCCTCACTCACTCAAGATACAAGAGGCAAGTTTTGGCTGAATCACAGTTTGGCAAGTAGAGGGTAGCTCCACATCAGAAATGTAGTCTTGTGGCTGGGCGCGGCGGCTCAGGCTTATAGTCCCAGCATTTCGGGAGGCCAAGGCAAGCAGATCACCTGAGGTCAGGAGTCTAAAAATCCAAAAATTAGCCAGGCACATGCCTGTAATCCCAGCTACTTGGGAGGCTGAGGCAGTAGAATCACCGGAACCCGGGAGGCAGGGGTTGCGTGAGCCGAGATCGCGCCACTGCTCTCCAACCTGGGCAACAGAGTGAGACTCCGTCTCAGAAAAAAAGAAAAGAAACATTCAATCTTTTACTTAGTCCTCACACAAACCTCTACCGTATTTTTTTCTTTTCATTTCTTTTCTTTTTTGAGACGGAGCCTTGCACTGTTGCCAGGGCTGGAGTTCAAGCAATTCTCCTGCCTCAGCCTCCTGAGTAACTAGGATTACAGGCGCTCGCCACCATGCCTGGCTAATTTTTTGTACTTTTAGTAGAGACAGGGTTTCAATATGTTGAGGAGGCTGGTCTCAAATTCCTGACCTCATGATCCGCCCCAAAGTGCTGGGATGACAGGCGTGAGCCACCACGCCCCGGCCCCATATTTCTTTTTTCTTAGAGACAGAGTCTCACTCTGTCACCCAGGCTGGAGTGCAGTGGTATGATCAAAGCTCACTGTAACCTCAAAATCTCAAGCTCAGGTGATCCTCCTGCCTCAGCCTCCCAGGTAGCTTGGACTACAGGTATACTCCACCACCCTCAACTAATTTTTAAATTTTTTTTAGAAGTGAGGTCTCACTATGCTGCCCAGTCTGGTTCCCAACTCCTGGGCTCAAGTGACCACTGCCTTGGCCTCCCAAAGTGCTGGGATTATAGGCATGAGCCACTGCACCCAGCGAACTTTCAGCATATTGATCTCAAAATAAGAAAGATGTAACAGAGAGAAAGAGACTCTGTCTCAAAAAAAAATCAATATACAAAATACAATTGTATTTCTATAAAATAGCAACAATTAGAAAATTAAATGTAAATTTTTTTAATTTTAAAAATAATACCACTACAGGAACGCTGCATAGTCTTTGTAACTTTTCTGTAAATCTAAAACGATACTAAAATTAAGTCTCTCCTTAAAAACTTATACCATTTTATAATGACATCAGAAAACATCAGACACCCATGAATAACTCCAATAAAAGATTATTATTATCTTAGACAGGGTCTCACTCTGCTGCCCAGGCTGGAGTGCAGTGGCATGATCTTGGCTTACTACGGCCTCTACTTCCTGGGCTCAAGCAATTCTCCTGCCTCAACCTCCTGAGAAGCTGGGATTGTAGGCATGCATCACCACATCCAGCTAATTTTTTTGCATTTTTGTACAGATGGGTTTTTGCCATGTTTCCCAGACTGGTCTGGAACCCCTGAGCTCAACCCACCTGCCTGCCTCAGCCTCCCAAAGTGTGAAGTTACAGGTGTGAGCCACCACACCTAGCCAAAGACTATTGAGAGAAATTCAATACCTGAATAAATGAGGGAATTGGCAATAATTTTTTTCTTCAGTCTTTGTGAGTAGCACAGAGAAATTCTTTAGTAAAATAATTTCTTTTTTTTTTTTTAAAGAGATTCTTCAATAGGCCTGGGTCCAGTGGCTCATGCCTGGAATCCCAGAGCTTTTGGAGGCCAAGGTGAGCAGGTCACCTGAGGTCAGGAGTTCAAGACCAGGCTGGTCAACTGGCAAAACCCCATCTCTAATAAAAAATACAAGAATTAACCGGGTGTGGTGGTGCGTGCCTATAATCTCAGGTACTTAGGAGGCTGAGGCAGGAGAATTGCTTGAACCCAGGAGGCAGAGGTTGCAGTGAGCCAAGATTGTGCCACTGCACTCCAGCACTCCAGCCTGGGCAACAGAGTGAGACTCCATCTCAAAAAGATTAAAGAATTTCTTAAACAGGATATTTAAAAAAGAGATTACCTGAGCAACACAAAAATTAAAATCTCAAGGGGGCATGGTAGCTCTTGCCTGTTCTCAGCACTTTGGGAGGCCAAGGCAGATTTTGAGGCCAGGAGTTCAAGATCAGCCTGAACAACATAGCAAGACCCCATCTGTACCCCGCAAAAAAGAAAAACTAAAAACTTTAGTTCATCAAAACATATCATACCAAGTGACAAGTCAAGCCCCCTAGTAGGAGAAGATATTTTCGGTACATATAACCAACAAATGACCCATATCCAGAACATATAAAGAATACTTACAAATAAGTGAGGAAAAAATCCAGCTTCTAGTCAAATAAGCCAAGATTCACGGTGCCTTTCAAAAGAGGATTTCCAGATGGCCAATTAACACCTGAAGAGGTTCAACCTCTTTAGTGACAAGAGAAATGAAAATTAAAGCCATAGTGATAATACTACAAAGTCACCCTCACCCTGCTGGCAAAAATTTTAAAAGCTGGCTGGTATGATTTGGCTGTGTCTCCATCCAAATTTTATCTTCACATGTTGTAGGAGGGACACAGCAGGAGGTAACTGAATCATGGGGGAGGGTCTTTCCCATGCTATTCTCATGAGAGTGAATAAGTCTCACGAGATCTGGTGGTTTTATAAGACGGGGTTCCCCTGCACAAACTCTCTCTTTGCCTGCTGCCATCCATGTAAAACATGACTTGCTCCTCCTTGCCTTCCACTATCATTGTGAGACCTCCCCAGCCAGGTGGAACTGTGAGTCCATTAAAATTTTTTCATGCATAAATTACCCAGTCTCAGGTATGTCTTTATTAGCAGTGTGAAAACAGACTAATACACTGACAATACCAAATGTTAGCAAGATTGCAAAACAATGCAAACTCTCATACATTGCTAGTGAGAGTGCCAGAAATAGGTTCAGCCACTTTGGAAAACACTACCTACTAAAGTCGATGTATGCAAACCCTATGACCTAACAGTTCTGCTCATAGGTGTACACCCAGCAGGAATGTGTACATTTGTACAGATACTTTGTGCAAAGACACATACAAGAA